GGTCGGGCAAAGTATTACTGGGGTTTTAAAAAATGACAATAGTAGCACGGAGTTTGAAATTCTGTGTGCCCGGTATATAGCAATAGGCTCACCCCCTATTACATGGGGCATAATGTGCACCTCTGCCTACGGGGAAAAAAGGCGTGATGTTATGTTATGTCTTATCCAAGAACTTAGCCCCAACAGGGCTGATGCCGATACGGAGCCGCGGAGGACTTAACTAACGGGTTACCGGGGCTCCGGCTCGACGTGCAGGTGTAGGAACGGGGTGGTTTTTATTCAGTAAGAGTCTAACACTCCCTCCCACTTCACCCAGACGGAAGAAATCATTCGATGATTTTCCCCCCTTAAAAAAACACCCGTAACTCGACGAACAACACGCAATAAATCTACCCACACACGGAAACAAAACAAAGACTATTCTACACAAAAAAGTTGTACATACCGTCAATTTATAAAAAAAATAGAATTCTCATGATTTCAACTTACCTTAGACACACGCAAAGCAGTTTAATGATGCCCAATTATATATCTATTAGCTTATACACTTTAACTTGTAAACAAAACTATTCGTACAAACAATTACAACTATAAAAAAACACCAATGTTTTAAACACTAGAGAAAACAAAAAAAAAACACAGATTTTTAAATTTTAAACACACAAAAATGAGCAAGAATGATAAATTATTTAGGTTATTATTGAGAAACAATTCTATTTTTAAATTAAAACGTCACATTAGTTTTTTTTTATTTGAATAAAGAATTATTGCTTATATATTGTTTTATAAATCTAATTATGATTTGATTTTTCACTGTTTTTTTTTCTTATAATTGTTTTTGTTGGATTTTTTATTGTTTTATAAATAAATTATTAATTGAATGTTTTAACGCGTTTCGTCCGGTCCGATGCTGGACTACGTCTGAGCGTAAACTCGTATTGAATGTACTACCGGACTGTATTAGGGTTGGTAAACAATTTTGTTGTATCAATGGCTACTTATAAAGTTTATTATTATTTATCTCTTAGCTTAGTAAGTATTGTTAGAATAAAAACGTTTATTTGCACGAAGTATGGTACTTACAGGTAACAATAATTATAAAAAAATAGTCCCACATACATCGCCTACTGTTTTCGGCATGCAAAGTTAAATTTTACAATATAATAAAGTAAAAACCTTACATTTATAAAACTAATTACAAAAATCCTTACAACTAGGATAATATATTATTTCTCCTAACATAATTTATTATTACTTTTCTTCTTTATTATGCCCGCCTCATTGGCCGAGTGGTCGCAAGTGCGACTGCCGAGCAAGGGGTCTCGGGATCGATTCCCGTGTCGGGCAAAGTATTACTGGGTTTTTAAAAAATTCTCAGTAGTAGAACGGAGTCTGGAATTGTGCCCGGTATATGGCAATAGGCTCACCCCCTATTACATGGGACTCGTAACATAAATAGTGAAAAGTGGGTGTTACATTGTACTTACAGTGGCATAATGTGCACCTCTGCCTACCCCTTCGGGATAAAAGGCGTGATGTTATGTTATGTTGTTTTCTTCTTTATTCACATATTTATCATTTATCATATTTTTTTTCATTTTATCATTATATGCCATATTTAACTATTATATGCCATAAATAAGATAAAATGAGTAGGTATCTAAGTTTAACTCGTCGAGTACCGTCATTATAGACACAATTATAGAACAATAGGTTGCGGTCACCGGTGACCGCTTGGTGTTTGACAGTTTAATGCCTTCCTTCAATCTTAACCGGTCGTGTGTCTAGACCTGGATTCACGCGAGGCACAATGTATTTTCTATTGTGTTTCATATACGGGCAACCAAGCGGTTAAGGAACTTTTAAGCTTAAATACGTAGGTGACTCTTACTAAACGACATCTTCAATTTCGCCATCTTTTTTTTTGTTGACGTTCAAAAGTGCCTACCTGGTCTAATTACAATAAATAATTTTGAGTTTGTCTTGACTGGACGATATCTAACGGTAAAGGTAATTGGTTAGTTTATGGGCGTCCTCACGCTAAGTAACTCTTAGTTAAGAGATGGTTTAGGGGTGGTTGCTGAAAACGGCCTTTCGTCCCATTTAACAGCAAGTTTTACCAGAGTATCAGACTTCGTGTGACTTATATTGAAACATAAAAAAGACCAAATATCACATTTCTATTTTCCTCGACCCGAAAATCGAACTCGAGAGAATTGGGATGATGACAGGGTATGAAAATTAAAAATCTAATTAGTCCGTAAGTTAGGTAATTAAAAAATATTAGTCACTTATTTTTTTTATTTTGTCGTATAATAAAACAATACTTAAATAAAACGAATCAAAGTTTAGGAGTGGGGGTTAAAACGTCATTTTTACGTATAAAATGTACATAGAAGTGACGTCACGCGACATTTGAAATCAATATATCGTCGAAACTATTCGTTTCTGTAAAAAAATAAAAAATATGTGTCTAATTATTTAAAAACATCTACCAGACGGACATTAAAATAAAAATTAGGCATCTACCTATTTACAATGTCGTCCCACTTGAAGCAACTAGTACACGAAGTCACTAGATATGCTACATTTATCCCTTTCACGACACAAGCAAAACCGCAGTTAACAACTAGTCAACAAAAAAAGATTAACTTAATACTGCCAGCCCTATGAAACTGGGTGTCATTAATGACATGTTAGCAGTCGGCTGCGCGTGCGCGCGTCATACTACCTACTGGCTATGGTCCAAGTTATTGGAATATCTTATGTTTAATAGAATAATTTAAACTTACTCGGTCTGTTTAGATAATTAACGTAATTATACCTTTTATTACTATGTACAAATCTTTCTTGTGTTTTAAGTGTGGGAGAGCCATGCTTCGGCACGAATGGGCCGGCTCGACCGGAGTGATACCACGGCCGAGCAGAAAACCGACGTGAAGCAACGCTTGCGTTGTGTTTCATCGTGTGAGTGAGGTTACCGGAGGCACAATTATCACCCCCTTTTCTACTCCAATCCCTAAATCAACAATCCTCAAATTCCCAAAAGGCCGGTAACGCACTTGTAACGCCTTTGGCGTTCTAGATGTCTATGGGCGACGCCGATTGCTTACCATCAGGTGATCTGCACATGTTAAGCCTTGTTCGCACTGCGCTAGTATTAAGTCGAGTGGCGAGTTTTTAATAGTTCTCTCTCGCTTCGATTTTTAGACAGAAGCGAGAGAAGGCTACTAAATACTCGACACTCGACTGAATTACAAGCGTAGTGCGAACAAAGCATTTCTTTAGTACCCTTCAATTTGATATTCATTACCTAATGCTTCGTCTTTATAAGTGATTGGAGAAGGGCCCCAATCTCCCCAATCCCCGAATTCCCAACAATTATCAAA